CTCGACGAGATACTCTCATTGACCGGCATTTCCGCTCCCACGAGCATCGAAATCTTTGATCGCGGCGGTTTTTCGTTTCCAGTTTTCCATCGCCGCGCGCATTTTTCTTCCCTTATCAATGGGAGGTGGAGGAGGAGAATAGAGGAAATTTCTCCTCGCAATTTCTCTTTGACCGACGATCAAACCTTCCCCCTCGAGAAGTTCCTCGCCAAGGTACGGAAAGACCGATGAATACGAATCAGCGGGGCGGCCGACTTTTTAATTACAAGCCGTCTTCTACCGGTGTAAGCAATTTTCCGCGCCGCCTCCCATCGATCTTCGAGACGGCTGGGAGGAGAGAGGGAGGGGGTGGGGAAGAGAGAGGGGCATAAATGACCGCTTACGAAACTTCTCGGGCAAAGTAAGAAGAGTAAGCGTGCACACGGATGAATGGACGATGTGTAATTCCGATTGCGAAGAGAGTTTTTCGTTCCGCGCACGACTGTTTTGTAATCAGGCGATGAGAGATCCCAGAGTGGAGGAAATTGGGCTGGGAGAGAAAAGAGCGAAATGATTCGCTGATTTTTCATTTTTTCTTTGGCGGGATTTTTCTTGTTTTTTGTATTTTTTTTTCTATCATATTTTACGAATAATGTTGTTGTTTCTTCTTTTTTTTTTTTTTTGGAATTTATGAAGCAAATTTGTTCACGTATTTCGTTTTAATAATTAACGCGATGAACGCGTTTATATCAATTTTACAATACGGAAAGTATACAAAGAAATATAAATAAATAAATGGAAAAGTGAATAAATTGTTTAATTTTTTTTTTTGTAAAGTGTTATATATGTATAAAGGCGGATGTTGTTAAGGTAATTTATATTTTAAATCGAACGAAAAATTGATGATTTTGTACAAGAATTAGATTCGAATTAAGTTTAATTTTTTATTTGTATTAAGCACGTTATTTTACTCCAATTTTTTTTCCATGATCCGTTTCCTATGTAACGATGTTCATAATTACTAATTATGAAATGTTACATGATAATTGGAAAATTAATTAGATGTACGATCGCGATCAGAATACCTTCGATGTTGTCGTTTATAATTAACGATTGCAATGGGAATAATTAACCGTCAAACAATTACATAATTACGTAATAAAAATCGATATCGCTCAAATCTATCTCCTCTCTGTGTTTAATATCGAGCTTTAAGAAAAATATACTAATCATGTATATTTATAACATTTATAATCTCAATATAACAATTTATAATCTCAATTTTAACTTGCAATCTTTATCAAAATGTTGAAAGTTCATTTGATATATGGAACAACTATTAATGTAACAAAGTTCTCCTCGATCAATAAACAAATTCTATTATTAAAACAAAAGTATGAATTTAGATATTCAATTGATTGAAGGATTGTAAAATAAATTTCTAAAAAAATTGTTAATATTAAATACATTTTTCTTAGATTGAAATAATTTTTAATTAAAAAATAATGTCTTAATGTTACTGTAAAACCTGAAGTTATTAGAATAAATGAATTTAATAGAGGAATTTCAAATGGATTAAAGAATTTAATATCTTTTGGTGGTCATATTATATCAAGTTCAATATTTGGTGAAATAAATGAATGAAAGAATGTTGAAAAAAATGAAATAAAAAATATTAATTCAGAAATAATAAATAAAATTATTCTAAATTTTAAGAAATTAATTACATATATTTTATTTTATTACAACATAAAATTTACTATTAAAAAACAAAGTCTAAAATACACAATTAAAGTCTATTTATATGATTAGAAATATACATTCTATCTACAATACAAAATAAATAAAAAGATTAATTCATTGAGTATCATTTATCAAGCTTGTAAAATTGTTTCTCAATTAATAATATTCGACATATCATTGCGTATGTTATAGAAAATGTTTCGTAAATTTCTCTTATATGAATTCCCTTCCAATTAATCCGAACGATAAATCATGAATTCTATGCTTCTTTCCCAACAGGTTCATACAAATGTAATTCTTCAACATTCCACAAAACGTGTACATGATTCCACAACAACAAATTTTCTATTCCTCCTCTCCTTCCTTTTAATTAAACAGCATAAATATGATAATTATAGAGGGAATAAATTATCGGACACGGCGAATTATCAATGCTGAACGCGCCATTTTTAACGCTTAACGTAACCGAGAAGAGCCCTCCCAACATAACATCCCAATAAACAAGATTTATTCGGCTGGACTCGATATTTCCATATCTCTTAACGGTGAATTAGAAGGAAGATTCGACTTAACGAAGACGGCAATAACCGTCTTCAGGCCACTTGTAGCCCGAGTTCCAAATTAAAAGTCCAATTTCACCCCTACCCTCAACTCTCATTTGAAAGTCTGATTTAATCGGCCCGCCAAGATTATTCACCAAGGGTCGGATCGAATTTGTATCGCAAATTGTCCCGCATTAAAATTGATTCTCGCTCGTCTCTCGCCGCACGCGTGCCTATTTACGCGCAATATCCTCTCTCTCTCTCTCTCCCCTCCCCTCTCGTCATCCAATTCCCCTCTCTCCTCCACGCCTCTAATATAACCGTGTCGCGATAATCGGATTTCTTTCCATCTCTCTTTCTCGATAACGAGTTCCTGATTTTTCATCGTTTCGTAATTTCGCGGGCTGACGCGAGACTTCCGCCAGGAACGGATGAATAAATGAATGTGACGGGAGATTCGATCCGGTGAATTTGTATATGTAACGCGAGAGATGGAAACAACGATTCCTCCACTTCTATTTCAGACGGCTCTCGCGCGCTTTTGTTAATTATCGATTAAATCGATTGGAGAAGAAAGAGAATAAGAAAGTGGTTTTATATTTTAGAGCGACTAATAAAATTTATCTTGTTTTTAAATTTATATAATATTTTCTTTGATTTTAAGAAAATTTTATTACATAGTGAATATGTATGCGTTAATGAGATGTGCAAACGATTTCTCCATTTAATAATATAATTTCTCCACTTTCGCTTTTGCAGAGATAATTGTTTTTGCGAGGTAAATAATTTTATACACGTGTGTAAATTTATTTAAATTTTAAATTTAAATACTTTTCTATTTTCGATTTTGAAAGAAAATTTTATCCATTTTATAATAATATTTGCACGAGTTTTAAGTAGTTTTGATTGAACTAATAGTTCAAAGAAGGAGTCTATGTTAATATAGAATTTTTGCAGGTAGGAATTTTGCTAGATTGAAAATGATAATAAAGATCAGAAGAAGATATATATTAATATTTACTGCAGTTCAATATGGCCTGATGTCAATTCACTCGTTCAACTAATTCCTATCTTCTTAATTTATCCCAAGAAATTGTTAAAGGAATCAATTTCTGTGATAGAACTTTGTTATTAAGACTAAGAGCAAAATTACTACCTATTATGCTTAATAGATCTATGATTGAAGTCAAAGGTTTATTAGGATTTTTTTTTCTTTAAAATAGAAATTATTGAACTTTTGGAAAAAATTATATCTGTTTTAGAATAATACATCTAACATAGTTTAAATAAATAATTTAAATTCTGAACATTCCATTAATCTATATCATTTTTTTTATTTTGTAATAGTTTGCAGAGTTATTTATTCTACTTATTTCTGTGAGAATATGCTTAACCTTCAATTCAATCCATCATTAATTTTTCAATCCAACACAATTATTTTTCAATTTTAAATGTTCAATTTCAACATCTCCTATCCTTTGATCACCCTTGACAATGTTCTCCGCATCTTAAACGAAATCCACTTTCTCAATTGGAATTTAAGAAAGCCCGTACTCTTACTCGAAAACTTATTTTCGAATCGTCGCCATTAAAAACCTCGTTCATGGAGGATGGCCAAATTGATCTCGTTACAATCGGAGACCGTGTAGCCAATCTATTTCGATTCCACGGCTCCGAGATATTGGCTCTCTTTCTCTCTCTCCTCCCAGTGACCATGTGGAACTTACCCGTGGTGGAATTGATGAGAAAATAACCCTCTGGATTGCCGCTCGTGATGGAGAAGGTGAATCGTTGAGGCGAGACGTCGCGATCGAACGCCCGTATCTGGAGAACGCTCACGCCTGCCGGTGAGTTCTCGAGGACCGATGGATAATAGACCGGAACCTCGGTCAATGGTGTGTTGTCGTTCTTGTCGAGCACCTCCACGTACACCTGCACGGAAACCGGCTGTCGATTATTTACGAGACGTGGATATCGTACCCGCGATTGCTTCTTTGCCAAATAATGCAAAAAAATTTGGCCGTGCAATTTGTTCATTTATATAGGGATCTTTTGTATAGGGAGATTCTCTGGTAAGTGGAATCGAAACCAGTGCTGCCATCTAACTATAGCGGTGGTATAGATGGATAACCTAGTTTTTATTATTTTTGTATTATTTACGATATGATTTGTCGATGAGGAAATTGCTGTTCTGTCATCGATTGATCGATTAAGATAAGTGTATTTGTAAGATTTGTAAATATATGGATATATCATTGTAATGTTTAACAAGACGGCAGTACTGTTTTTGAGTTCACCGATAAGAGAGATATATTTAATGTACAATGTAGAACTTTGAAATTTGAGCATATATTAAAAAAAAAAAAAAAAATTTTAATTTCTTAGGAACTTGCTTTTCGATAAATTCTCATGAAATTATTTTAAGAGTGTCTACTTGTTTTCTGGTATGAAATTTTATTACGATGTAGGTTTTTATTGAGAATGTATCTACAAGTTAACAAGCGAATAAAAATAAATTTTATTTAACGAAAAAGTCATAAATATTGAAATTGATTTTAACGTGAAATCAAGCGGAAAGAGCAGGAATATTTGAAGCTTAAATTATAGTAATTAGTACGTATCACATCCTGTGTATTTAATTTTCTATAATTGCTACAAGCAATTGGAAGTGAATATCATTGAATATATTTTTGCATAGTTTGTTAATAATCCTATTTCATATAACGCATCATTAATAACGTATCATTTGTAAATTCTCATTTCCTTATCTCGATAACTTTCTACATGATCATTGATAGAATAAAAAGGTGCAATATTGATTATAGAATTTTAACACAGACGATGAAATTTTAACGTTCATGCTTAAATTACTCAGTGAAACTTTCATCGGTCCATGTAATTATAAGTGTGTTATAAATTAATCGTTTCTTTTCCTGATTAATGGAAAGCCTTTTTCCAATACTGTTAGGTATATTGGCAACATAGTGGCAAGAGATAAGTGATACGAAAAATTTTCCTAGGACTAACATAGTGGTCGATAGAGAAAATTGGTTTCTCAATTCGCCATCGGTTCCGTTAAGAGCTTATATAAATAGGAAGTGCAAAATAAGTGGTTGGTTGATATTTTTCCAATATAATGACAAAACTTTGACAGGAGTGTTTATGACCCAATATACACGATGTCATATAGCAGTAATTTTCTAACGAAGTGCGGTTCTCTTGCTGTATCGTGAAATTTTAAAACGACTATCAAAGGATAAATAACAAACTTGTGAAACTATTATTAAATTACATTAAATTACATTAAAACTCATGAATTATATTAAAACTCATGAATAATTTTTAAATAATAATAATAGAACGATTTGATATTTCATGAAAGTAATATTCTGTTCAATATTTCTGTTCAAAGTTTTACATCTGATATAATATTTCAAAGATATAAAAAATTTGAATAAATATTATTATTTCCTCTAAATGTTGTTGAATTTCTGTTATAAAAAATTATATTTATTAATATAATAATAACTAACATTTTGTATGTTTGTTTATTTTAACAGCATCAATTTTTTACTATTTCATTCTTAATAATATAGAAAACTAATTTTTTTTCAAAACTACTTTTATTTTTTCTCGTGTAACATTAAATTGCTTCTTTAATTGCATTTTATTCAAACAATCCAAGAAACTAACAAGTCCAACTAAATTTATAAACATTGCAAACGTACACAATGACAATAACATCTGGAGAACCATTTTCAGCTAAAAGAGTATTTACTTTTACATAAGAGTTTCCTAAAAATGCTAACTTTGTGTCATTAACATAACAGACAATGGACAGGTATGAAACTTTTACAAAATAAAAAGAAAAAATTATTTGAAATATAATAGTTCTCTAATTACGGTATATATTTATCATTTATTCGTATTTTTATTGTTCGCAATGTCTTAATAAAAGTTACAAAATGCGTAATATTTTTCTGGATAACAGTAATATATTATACATGTAATTTATCTTCTTAATACGAACCTGTAAACTGGAGCTCAGAGGAACTACACCGTGATCCTGCGCGTACACCGTTAACCAGTATCCTCTCTTCGATTCCACGTCGAGCACAGCCTTTGTCTTGATGTTACCTGAAATAAGAAAGCATTTTTATTAGAATAAAAGATAATTAACATATTAAAAAAGTAAAGAAAATTAGATGACATAAATTTTAGGATAGAATTGATTACAATGCAAAAGTTTGATAAGATTATCATGTTCCATTTTCTGTAATTGAATGAAATAATATATTTGGATTATATAATTTCGAATTCTAGAAAAGACTTTGCAATTTAAAAATTTCCTTTAAACAAATATTTTATGGAATACAGAAACGAATTTCATATCTAATTTCACTTAATAGAAAACTATCACATAATTTCGATCAAAATATGAAAAATATTCGAATCGATTCTCAGTTCTAACTTAACCTAACCTAATTCACTGTTACATTTTAACAATTTTCTCTATGAATCATTCATCTCGAAAAAAGCTGAAAAATCAACTTGATCTTTCATCACCAATCAAAATAAAACTAAACTATCTCCAATCACGGACAAACGTGGTTTCCATACCAAAATATTTAAAAATCGTCACGTTATCGCGAAACATTTTCACCTTTTCGATATTTCCGTGGGACATGAGGTGAATAGAAACATGTTCAATGACAGTAATAAGAAGGAAAAAGGAAAAAAGGAGGCAAAAGAAGAGCGAATAAGAAAAATACAGGTTACGAAACATAAGGAAGGATTCGGTATTACCTTGCAAGATAGGCAACAAGGAGCCGATATGAAATGACGTGCACGTACATGGCGGCTTGCCAGCGACTAGCACCCGCGCGGCTAGAGCAAAAATTGGTCCGCATTCCTTGTGTTAACACATCCTGCACACGGTGTTCCGCGATGTTCTTCGATCGTTTTTGTGAGATTCCATTGCCTTACGGGTTTTTACATCGTCCAATGAACGCTCGTTTGGTTTATTACGGTATTAACGTAAAAGATAACACATCCGATACTTGGCGAGCAACGATCAGGAACGAATAAGCGCGAAGGTAGCCGAAAGATGGCGAAGAGAGAGACAGTAGAGAGAGAAGGGGATTTCGATTAATTAGCAATCCAAGATGTTACGTTACGAGAGCAAATGTAGATGGTAATCAAGATTATCCCCGATTTGTTTTGTGAGTAAATTGCGTCTTTAGATTTCGCGACCAGCATCTTCATTAATCCTGATCTTTCGAATGTTTCGATTCAATCTTATTCGTTGCGCGTATTGTGCACGTAATATGAGTATCGATATCGAACTCGTAATTTCGCAATATATCGATTAATTATCCTAGGCGAATTCAGTTCAGTGGGATGTGCACGGTGTTCGTGTTCGTGTTCGTGTTCTCAATGCGTTTCACGTATTCGTGATTTTACGTTGGATTTTCTTGTGCAGAAGATAGAAAATAGAAAATAGAAAAAGAACGAGTGGCTTGAGGTAATGATATTTAATTTATTCTATTACGTGATGTAGAAAATATTTAGGAAAGAGAAAATTCAATAGTCGAGAATGGAACTATTTGCACACAACGTATTCTACAATATTCAAAGCATTGTCACAATTTTGATTGATTCAAAATACTTTTTCTTTATCAAAATTAAAGATTGTCATGCACGAAATTTATTATAGCCAAAAATTTTCAAAAATTCATCATATCAAATTTCAAGAATTTAAATTGCGATTCATGTCTTGTATAAAGAATATATTCTGCACGATCGCATAACCAAAGAACATGCGTTATATGTTCGTTGCTCGTTCAATCGTGGCAAGAGAGTTCAGAATGTAGACACATGCTGTATGTTTAATATGGCGACCAATAGGAAAGAGAAGAATAAATTAAATTCGCTATCCGTGAATGCAACTTGTATAAGAAGGAAGGGTGACAGATACCAAGCTAAGCAATATTCGTTTTTCACGTCTTTAGTTTTTCATCTAAATAACATTATAAATTTAATTTCTTTCGGGATTGGAAGGAAAGAAAGGAGGAATGTTGCCTTCTGTCGCAAGAAAAGCAACAGAAAGAGAGAGAGTAAATGAACAAGAGTGAGAAAATAACTAACGGAAAAAGTTTAAAGCGAAATGATTTCGTTTCGATTGTACATTCATATACAATATATATACGTATATATACAGGATATAATGGATTATAATTATAATTATTTGGATGAGAAAATTTAATTTTTGGACAATTCGCTACTTTTCCGAATAATCGTTGATTTGATAATATTAATTCTTAATTAATATGATGGATTTTTGAAAAGAAGAGTAAAATTTATAATTTAATATATCTAAAGAAAATTCAGAAAAAGGAAAATTCGTTGAGAAAAATATATAACAGTGATCTGACAACAATTGAGTCAAATAATTTTGAAATTTCAAAAACTATTTCGAAAAATCTTCAAAATTTACCAAGTTTCCCATTCCTATCTGTATCTGAATACATTTTACAAAACTTTCGACATGTTTAAGAAAATTGGAAAGAAAGATAAAGTCTCTAAAAGGATTTTTTTATAGAATACAATTTTCTTATAGTAGAATATCTCGAAGCAAAGTCAGAATCTCAATTTCCATTTCCAAATCTTCCAAATCCAAGAGAGATTTAGCTCTTGCGATAACAGGAGATTCTTCTCCCTATTTTCGTTCGACTCTTCTCGATTATTGGATTAAATAATAAAGCAAGTTATCGAGTTATTCGAGATCTGGTTGTCGGTCACAATCATTAGAATCATCATTCCACGGATCGAATGGTGGAAATGGGTCGAGCAACTTGAAAATTACGTGCACTCGCCTCGATTCGAGTTTGAAACTCGATCTAACATTGATTATTCGAAAGTTGCGAATTTGCGACGGTTGGTACGCGCCGATTTATTCGCTGGATGCCGCGGAATGCATCGGGACGAAGTTGACATTTGCAATTACAGGAACGTCGATAGGGTTGTTGCAAAATTAATTTACGGGTTAAAACGCGGGCCAACCTCCACTGCCATTCGCGATTATTATGCACGATAAAACACGCGATAAACTCATTTTCCATGATTCAATTCCAATTCGAGATTTACTCTTTATTTACCACTTTAAGCGAGCGTAGTAGTTTTATTCGTGGTATGGACGGATATTTTAGTATTTTAATATTTATATATACTGTCGAAATGCGAGAATTTTTCTACTATACAAACTTGAAATATTGTGTTGCATTAATGCGAAATAGATATCGTATATGCGTGTAATCACATCAAATGCGAAACATGGATATCCTATTAGAAATCCTAATGGATTTATAGAAGTTGGTAACTGGATTAATTAACATAGAAAGTAAAACGATCAACTATGTAAAATTTTAACGGTATACGTGCTATTTAATTTTATAGATATCAAATTTTACATTTTTTTTTTCACATTTCTCTAAATAATTAATCTTTGCGAATTTTTATGCAAAATAAAATTTGACTAAAGAAATGAAGATTAAATAAAAATTTGCCTCATTCTTCACATATATCATATACTTTATTGTACCTTATTTTGTGTCTTTTTTTTGCATATCGTGTAAACATTTGTATATTCTTAATTTTGCATAAATGCACGGATAATTTATGTTTATTTAAATTCATTTACCTGTTATCACGAATCGTTAAGTCGGAATTATTAAGCTGGCTTGCAGATAATCGTTGTCAATATCAACGAGGAAAAAAGGATTTGTGGCCGATTTGTGAGGAGTTTAATCGATTGAAGCACTCGGCCGGCAAATGACAGATAGGAGAGTTTGAATCTCGACCAGCAATTCGATTTGCCAGCAATAAACAATAAATCACTTCGATCAGACGAATTAACCTCTTCGAGTTCCCAACCGTTTCACATCATTGTCCATTTAGAAAGCTAATGGCGATTGAAATCGTAACCAATTAATATAACTATGCCAATCACCGGCGTATTATACAGAGTATTATGTCAAATACCACGTTTCAAAGATGAATGCGTTAGATACGATTTTGCAGTTCCCATAATCTGATCCTGACATCGGAGGATATTTATGTTCCGATTCTACTATGATTAATATTCTAATATAGTATTGGGCGTGTTGTGGAATGCGAATCATGAATGTTTTGATTGAATGGGCGAATGTGATGAGATATACACGATATTGCTTCTAAGAATATCTTCTGTGTAACTTTATGCAAAGAAAAATTCAATGAAATAGAAATAAATATTCATTGCATTCTACACTCACGAATTAATATTCATTCGAAATTTCTATATTTTTCTTATTACTCATTGGCAATGACATCATCAGCCAATTATTATTTAATGAACACAAATGTATACCGTCAATATCTAGAATTTTAGAGTGACAAACTTTTCTTTTAAATATTAAAATTTAAATATCAAATATTAAAATAATATTAAAATCTTTTAAATTTCTTTTTTTCTTTTAAGATTTTCTATATCGGATTTTTTCTTTTTTACTACACTTTTTTTTTTTTTACTACAGTTTCTTTTTCAAAAAAGAATTTTTTTTGAAAAATCACCAATCTATACTGATTCTAAAAAGGGGATAAAATAAGAAATCTATAAAATTTTTATCGTACAACGCTAAAAAGTTTTTATTCGTTTCCTTACAAGGAATTCAACTGGAATTGAAGTAGAAAAATTTTAATTTCTATTCCAAGAGAAGACATTCGCGACATTCTTATCCGTTCAACACTCTTCTTTCCATCGTTAAAACTTACGAAGACGGTTTTACACGACGGACAACAGGAAACAATTACCATTATCAATAACTATATCATCGATTCAGCTATAGTCGTCGCGAAACACGCGTGTAGTTTTACGACCATTAAATTCACCGGTCATAAAACGACTTGTTGGAGTAAGTAACAGTGAAATATTTTACGTTTTCAGATCAAGTCTCGATTTTATCCAACGATCAATCGATATTCGTGTATACAGGGTGTTTCTTTTGAAACGCGACTATAGAAAAATAATACATAATATATAAAAAGTAATAAGAAAAAAATATGTAACAAATAATATATAAAAAATATTGTTTTTTAATGAAAAAACTTTTTTCATTGTTTAAATTTTCATAGACGTGTGAAAGTACTAATAAATAATATCAAATGTAATATATCTAATTGATTTACATAAATGTTATGTAAATTTTTCTTAAATAATTATCTATATTAATATTTTTTTTTATAATAAATATATATATATATATAATTGAATTAAGATAAAAATTAAAAATTCTATGATTCAATTTAAAGAAATCTTCAGTCACACTATTTATTCTATGTGATTTCCTGATATCTTTTTATATCAAACAATTTTTATACAATTATTTTTTTTATAATTTCACTCTTTTAGAAGATATTTGATCCTTATTATCGAACAGCAGTTTGTAAAAATGTTAAAAACATTTTATAAAAATATTTTCTTCGTTCTCTTAAAAGATATTCCATCATTGTTCAGAGAAAGCATTTACATATACAAATATTATTACAATATTATAGCACTTTCATTATTATTGGATACAACATATTTTATGAAAGTATCTTTTTTTTATATCTCACTCTCTCGAAAGATATTTTACTACTATCAAGAGAAAGCATTATATTCGTATGCATAAATATAAAATAAATATAAAATGTTAAAAACATTTCGTTAAAATATCTTTTTTATCAAGCCTATTCTCTCGA